TGCTGCCTAAAGCTTCTTTTGTCTGGAACAGTTCCTTACAGAATGCACTAATGTCCATGTCACTGTGCTTACTTTGGTAGGTTGACTGTGCTGAGTTCGGGGATCCCAAGGTCTACTGCACTCGGGAATCTAATCCCCACTGTGGCTCTGATGGCCAGACATATGGCAATAAATGTTCCTTCTGTAAGGCGATGGCGTAAGTATCATACTCAGAAACCCGTTCCTTGCAAGCGCAAATTTTCAGAATAAGACAATCACACTTTCCTTGAAATAGTCTAGAAATTTCTGTTCATACCCACCCATAGAGCTAGCAGAAATAAGCTTCAGGCAAATGGATTGAAAACAATTTGTTCAAAAACTAATAACAATTGGCATAATAAATTATTTGAAAGCATAATCTTCATTGTAATTATTAAATGTGATTAATCTTAGGGACTTTTAAAAATTATACATCTTTTAAGTATTTTGATACATTTTATTTTTTCCCCATTTATTTCTAAATAAGATTTTTAATAATTGTATCCAATTATGTTTGTTATTATTAATTTCAGAAACAATAAATTTTAGCAATATAGTTACGTTTGAAAATTCATCAAAATCAGAAACACAAAAAACTTTTGGGAAAATTTATTATTAACAATAAAAGTTATTACTTTATCCACATTATTTTCAAGCATTTTATTTTATACCAATTTCTATGTTGCTAAGGCAACAATTTCCATTCATTCCTCTGATGAAAAGGGCCTTCCCACAGAGAATAGAGGAAATGATCATTCTTACTATCCAGACTATTCAAACTTTACAGATAGTATACTAGGAAGATTCTATCAAGGACCAATATTTATTGAATTTATGTGTTTAAAGGAACAGAACAGGTACTATAGATTTTAGCAAATAGATTGTGAACTTCCTGATGAGACATATTTTATAATTAATAAAAACTTAATAAATCAATCAATCCCTTAGCCTGATTGCTCTAAAATCAAAGGAATTATAGCCCTCTTTAAAAGTAACCTCACTTCTTCACCACTGTCATTCTTTTCTTGTATTAGAGTTTCTTCTATGAATGTCTTAATTTTCCTCAACTTTGCTGTAAGATTCCTAAGCATGGAGATTATATAGCTCCCTATCAATAACTGCAAGGCCAAGCACATAGAGTTAAATGAATAAATATTGAATCAATGCATAATAAGTATTTCTACATTTGTGTATAACTCTAGAGGCCTGGTGCATGGATTTGCGCACTGGTGGGGTTCCTCGGCCTGTCCTGTGGGGATCAGGACAAAACCGGCTCTTCAACATCCCCCAAGGAGTCCCAGATTGTGAGAGGGTGCAAGCCAGGCTGAAGGACCCCACCGGTGCACGATTGGGCCGGGGAAGGACCACAGGGGAGCTCCAGGGCGTGTCCTGCCTGTCTTGCACAGTCCCAATCGGTTGGACCCCAGCAGCAAGCTAACCTACCAGTTGGAGCTTCTGTACCCTGGTGGTCAGTGCATGTCATAGCGACTGGTCAAATGAATGGTCGAACAAATGGTAGGACACTTAGCATATTAGGCTTTTATTATATAGGACTAGAGGCCCAATGCACGAAATTCATGCAAGAGTAGGCCTTCCTTCCCCCGGGTGCTGGCACCGGCTTCCCTCTGGCACCCGGTACCCGGGCTTCCCTCAGGCCATCCAGGCACTGGGGACCTGGGCTTCCCTCGCACCCCCAGCTTTTGTCCGGTCTAATTAGCATATTATACTTTTATTATTATAGATACCTGCTAATTAATACCAAACTTTTTCCAGGATAAGGGCAGCAGGGTAAGTTGAGATTGCATATGAAGAACACTCATTACTGAGAAGGACTAAATGTATGGTCTACTATAAAAGGCCAAATGCCTGAATATTTGGGTTAACAGCATCCATTTTTTATTAGGACAGAACTATGACACTATAATCTCTTTGCCATTATTTCTCCTGTCACTTTTACCTTTTCCAGTTGTATATATATTTATTCCCAGAGAAGAAACAATTGAAATCAAAAGATCTACGCCTTATTAAATTTGTTTAAGATTCATTTTTTTCTGTAATTAGGGCAGATGTCACCTCAAAGTGAATTTAATTATCTTCTGCCACATTGTCAACATGGATACCTGTAGAATCAACTAATTACATAGATGATGACATAGTTAAACCTTGTCCAATGTCTGCAATGAATACTAATTATATTGTACTGAGCATATCTTGTCTTTCTCTTTGACAGGAAAAGTGGTGGGAAGATCAACCTAAAGCACTATGGAACATGCTGAATTGGAACCAGTGCTTTGTGCTGAGCTGCCGGCTCTCTCAGCCTTCTTTTCTTGGTTCTGCTTTGATTTTTCTCTAGCAGAAAGCTTAAATTTATAGAAACACGCCTTCTTCTCTGCCTGGGTCTTGGGGAATTCAATATATAATATTTTCCTTGATTTGCTTAACAATAAAATAAATTCTGCAGAAGCCTGGCCTGTGTTTTTACTTTGAGATCAAGAAAACATATAGATAAAATATTGAAAAATTGACCTGACATAAATGTGGATCACCTGTTTTTCTAATCTAAATCAATCATGAAGTCATTGTGGGACCTTGGGAAAATCCCTTCCCCTCTTTTATTCTTGGAATTTTCATTGTATAATGAAGAATTTTCTTTTATAAAATCTATAATAAAAAAAGCATAATATGCTAATTAGACTGGACGTCCATCTGGATGACATTCCGGACAAAAGCTGGAACTGCAAAGGAAGCCTGGGTCCTGGGTACCAGAGGGAAACCGGTGCTGGCAGCCCAGGGAAGAAAGGCTTACTCTTGTACAAATTTCATGCATCGGGCCTCTAGTCTATTGTATAAGGCTTAGGTGAGTTAATATTGGTTCTCTCCAATTTGGGGGAAAGTATTTTATGTAAAAATAAAACATTTATCCTCTCTGGACCATAGTTTTACATCTGTATGAATTGGTGAGTTTGGACTATATACTACGTGAACACATACATTATTTGTTTTCCAAGCAATATCATAGAGTCCAGCGGATAGCAAGAAGTAAATAAATATTCAATCAATAATGAACATCCAGTTCTAGCCAGTTTATCTCAGTGGATAGAGCGTTGTCCTGGGGCCAGAGAGTCCTAAATTTGATTCAGGTCAAGGGCGCATACATCAGTTGCAGGCTCCTCCCCAGCCTGGCCCTAGTCAGGGCACCTACAGTAGGCAACCAATCGATGTGTTTCTCTCACATCGATATTTCTCTCTGTCTTTCCCTCCTTGGGTGAGGATTAACAAAATAAGTAAATAAATAAATAAATACATAAATAAATAACGAATATCCAATCATAATGAATACAGGGAAAGTCTGTAAAACTGTGCACATTTAAAGAAAGTAGCCAGTTGATCTTAATCATGGAATGAGAGAACTAGATGAAATATAAGGAATCTTATGGCCCAGAGAAAGTTTAACTAGTTACTGCCAAAGAAAAACGTAGTAGATAGAAGAACCAAGGTCACAACACAGGCCTTTCAATAACCCACTCAGTCTCCTACTGGATGGGAGGGAGCAGGACAGCATGAGATCAAACCACATTACTCAGAACAGTGAGAAATTTAAAACTTAGGAACTCTTTATTTCGGGAATTTTCCATGTAATATTTTTGGACCATGGTAATTGACACTACAGAAAGCAAAACTGTGGATAAGGGGGACTACTGTTTACTAAATGTCCTGCTTCCTAGGGAAAGTGAGCCTTTTCTCCTTTGTAGTTTCTCCCCCCTGAAGTGACTTAGCTACTTCTAATGTAAACGTGTGGAGGACCACGTGTAGTTAGAGAAGCAAGTCACTGCACATCTTTACTAAAAGCATTGCCGTTCCACATGAACTCCTCCTCCTCCTCCTCTCTCCTGCTGGAACGGGCTCCTCCAGCCAGGCCAGGTCCCTGTGGGCTGCCCACACGAAAGTGCATTTCCACCACTTTGCTCTAGGCTGCCTACAATGCCTTTGTGCCACCTTCTGCCACGCTGCCTATCCTTTCTCCCTCATACAAATCTCTCATCCACATCTTAAGACTCTGCAATGTACTTCATGGCTCATTTCAGGGGCCTTCACTGAGTAAGTGATCAAAATACTGTCTACGGTTTTGTTCTGAGCTATTCTTTGGGGATGAAAGGGAAGCATATAAGCAATAAACCACAGAAGATCAGAAATCTTGTATCTCTTAGAGAGAAGAGGCAAGTCACATATAAAAAAAATCAACAGTTGAACTCCAGAAGGTTTGGTTCAGAATGTATACATTTTTCCAAACCTCAATGAAAACACATATAAGATTTATGCATATTATAGTTTGCAAACTTTACATCAAAAGAAAAGAATGGAAACATAGTCTAGTCTTTAAGAGGATATGCAGGGCAAAGTTTTTAGAGAGAAGGATACTGATGCCTGCAATTTACTTTAAATTGTATCAAAGATAGATTAATGAATAAATGGGTAGATATATTTAAAAAACATGCATAGTGGCCCTGGCTGGGGTAGTTCAGCGGTCAGAGCACCACAGGCTCAATTTCCAGTCAAGGGCACATACCTGTGTTTCAGGTTCATTCCCAACCCCAGCCGGGGTGCTTGCAGGAGGCAACCGATTAATGTGTCTCTCACATTGATCTTCCTTTCCTCCTTTCTCCCTTCCCAACCCCCATTCTTTTTCCCTCCCTTCCACTTTCTCTAAAAATCAATGGAAAAAAATATCCTTGGGTGAGAATTAACACCCCCCCCCCACAAGTATATAAAATATTAATGGAATAATCTAAGTGGTGAGTTTATAAGGGTTTACTATAAAATTATTTTAGCATTGCTGGGTACTTACGATTTTTTATTAAAAGTTTTTCAATGATTTAAAATAAAACAGAGACTCTGCCAAGAGGAGCAAATATTCATAATCCTGTTTTTGTTCCTCATTATTGAGAAATTCTTGTCTGTGTCAATGTGAAGATTTCTTGAAGTGGAATACACAAACTGAAAAGAGGAGCAATGGGGGGAGGGGGTGGTAGCCAGAGAAAATAGAAGCTGAGACAAACACTGAAATAAGCCACCACTAATGCATTTAGCCAGTTTACTGAGTACTTCCCATGTTTCCTGTGATAGGCACACAAACATTATCACACTTAAATTTAGTAATAGCTGTGAAGTTGTTGCCCCGTTTTATAAAAGGAGTCTGAGGTAGAGAGATATACATTATTTGTCCACGATCTTACAGCCAGCGAGTTGCAGACTCTGAATTTACTCAAGAGGAATACACCAATTCCAAATTCCCAAACTTCCTATCACATAATCATAGTAATTTGAATAGCTTGGATGTAAGTGTTGAGTTGGAGGGATTAGGGCTATAAACTTAGATACATCAGAAATAGGAGTATTCATAGTTCAACACTATTTAGGCAAATACACTGGTATAAAGAAGGTGACAGGTATATATCATAATTCTTAACATGTGAACAATTACGTTAATTTTGTGAGTGGGTTACAGCATTAGCCTGAGAAACCTGGTTCAAAGGGGCTACTAACTCTGAGCTAGGCATTAATTGAAGTGTTCTCTGTCTTTCTCTCACTTTCTTCCTGTCTTTTCCAGAACTGCTGTCTGTGATTTTACACAATTTTGGTTCATTTCAGTTCTGCAATTTGACTTAAGGGAAAGTAAGTAGAACAGATTTCTCCTGCTTTAGTTTGACAAGATTTAGAACTAACCTAATAAGAGAAGGCTATCATTGCATTGACCTCTTTAGCTCACTACAGTTCCCCTTCAGATTTGATAAGATATTGTATATTAAAATAATGCATATAATAAAGTACAATTCCATAAGTTCTGATATATTGTGTTTCCATTTTCATTTGTTTCAAGTTGTTTTTTTTAATTTTTCTTTTGATTTCCTCCTTTGGCCCACTGGTGTTTTGGGAATGCTTTGTTTAATTTTCACCTATTTAGGAATGTGTTTACCAGTTTTCCTCCTGTTATTGATTTCCAGTTCTATACCACTGTGATTGGAAAAGATTCTTGGTATGATTTTAATTTTCTTGAATTTGTTAAGACTTGTTTTGTGGCCTACCATATGATCTACTCCAGAGAATGTTCTGTGTGCACTTGAGAAGAATGTGTGTACTATGTTGTTGGATGAAATGTTCTGTTCCATCTGGTCCATCTGTTAGGTCCATCTGACTAAAATATAGTTAAAATCCAATGTTTTCTTATTGAATTTCTGTTTAGATAATCTATCCATTATTGAAAGTGGAACACTGAGTCCCCCAACTCTTATTGTATTGTGGTCTATTTCCACCTAAAATTTTATTAATATTTGCTTTATATATTCAGATGATCCAATGTTAGCTGCATATCCAGGGAGAGTCCAAAGTACATTTACAGTTGTGAGTATGCAAACCACAGGGTCTGTTCTTGTATTTTATTTATTAATTATTATATTATTTTCCATATGACTAACTATAAACCTACATTCACCCCACCCTGTATATTTACAATATATATTCTTTTGATGAATTGACCCCTTTATCATTATATAATGACCTTCTTCGTCTCTGTTAAGACCTTGATGAAAGAAATTGAAAATACAAATAAATATAAAGACACCCTCTGTTTATAAATTAGGACAATTAATATTGTTAAACAATCCATGCAACAGCTGGCATGGCGCAGTGGTTGAGCGTCAACCTATGAACCAGGAGGTCACGGTTCGATTCCTAATCAGGGCCCATGCCCGAGTTGTGGGCTCGATTGCCTGTATAGGGTGTGCAGGAGATAGCTGATCAATGATTCTCTCTCATCATTGATGTTTCTATCTCTCTCTCCTTCTCCCTTCCTCTCTGAAATCAATAAAAATATATTTTTAAAAAATGTGGAGTAAAGGGAACCCTTGAACACTGTGGGATTGTAAACTAGGATAGTCATTATGGAAAACAGTATGTAAATTCTCCAAAAAGTTAAAAAATAAAAGTAACATATTGTCCAGCAATCCCACTTCTGGATACTTATTCAAAGAAATAAAACCTGGATCTCAGAAAGATATACTAGTATGCACTCCCATGTTCATTGCCATATTATTCACAATTGCCAAGATATGGAAACAATGTAAGTGTTCATTGACAGATGAATAAAGACTTTTTGATATATACTGTTAAAAGGTAAACTGAGGCATATTAAAATTGACAAGAATTTATTTGGGAAAACATCTATTCAAATCATCCAGCTATGAATGGAAAGTAGTTAGGAGTGCAATAGAAGTTAGGGGAAAGTCTTTTTTTTTTTTTTTTTTTTTTTTTCAGACCGAATTACTATAAAAGAAGACATGGAAGGAAAACCCCAAAAACTTACTTGATTGTCTATATCTTAACTGGTTGCCTTATTTGAGAAAGCGTGGTTGGCTATTCATGATTGGGTTTCTTAGGTTTTGTTTTCTC